TCCGAGTCAGCAGATGACTTAGTCCTCTCCGGAATATCGCTGAACTAGAAAGGTCTTCCCTTCGTTATGTAAGTAACCATCTCTTGTTTGACACATCGGAGTTTTCAGTCGCATTGATATTTCCCTGTTCCGCTTGGAGACACGGTTAAACAATACTCACGTGCAAGGAGTTAAGATGTAACTTATTAACTTTTACAAACTTTTACTATTTTTATCATCCAATTACAGGTCAGAGCCATTCCTGTATTTAGTCGCTAGTACGAGCGATAAGCGCCGCCATATTGGATTTTTTCGCTCTGGAGTATAACATGATATACCGCTGACAATTGTTAACGGGCTCGAAATGTCCACGATTTCTGGTAATGTGACACGCAAAGATATTTAAACTCTGGTTCGATGCCTTCCCCGGGGCCCTGCTGAGGGTTAGGGTTTGATTGTGGGCAGTGAAGCGACCTCTGTGGCGCGACTAAAATTCGTATTTTACTTTCACCTCTTGTAGTGGCTGGAGCAGAGCACAGATTTTGCGATGACTGACATACTTCTGTCTGGCTATATCACGTTTTGGTGTTATTACAGTTCTGTCCATAATTTTTTTCGTGCATTTTCTGTACTGGTATGGCTCTTCTGGATTTCTGTCCTCAAGTATATGAATGTTGCTGGTCCGGCACCACAACCATTTGTAGGAAACATTCCGGATCTGAAAAAGTACCATGGAGTACATTTGATGTTGCTGGATTACCTCAAAACCTATGGAAGGGTATTCGCTGTTTCTTTGGGTAGGTAACCTTCCATCGTCATTGCAGATCATGAAGTACTCAAACAGATCCTAGTTAAGGATTTTTTCAATTTTCGAAATCACCACATTCCTGGAAAGCAACCTGCTCGGTTCAGAAGAAGCATATTTGCTGCACGTGACGAGTATTGAAGAAAAATCCGCAATATGTTGACCCCTACGTTCAGTGCGGGAAAAATAAAGTCGATGGCGCCACTAATCGAGAAGTCATGCGACGTACTGATGGAGAAACTTGAAAGAATTGCTTCTACCGGTGAGAGATCGCATATTATACTTAAGTTTTTAAGAAGCATCCTAAAGTTTCAAAGAGAGTTCTCAGACATTACGTAAAAGAAGTAGGTTTCAAGGTTATCGAGCTGATGATTTTTCTCGTCGACCAATTTTCCTATGGGGGAGGGGGTCTTTACTCGCGTCTTATGGGGGCATGGTAATATATTCGTTATTGACCAAGCATGAGTTCAAGATAGCTCGATTTTTTTTTTTTGCGATTTTATGGACCGAAATGAAGTTGAGGTCCTTGAAAACGTAAAAAAAAAAAAAAAAAAGAATGAGGCTAATATCCAGCCATCTTTACTGAACAAGCTTGATTTTTTTTTTTTGTACGGTTGAATTAAATTCTAACAAGTATTACCAGCGACACCTCGGAGCAGCACCCATCACTAAAGAACTTGGCTTTAAAACTGGAGTTAAGGCTCCAAAACTGGAGTTTGTTATGAGCGCAAATCAAAGTAAACGAGTGAATTTATTACTGTTTCGAAACCAGAGCGCAGTTGTAATATTAATCAAAACAGCCAATCAGAACAAAGACATCTCGCAAGGAACCAATGAGAAGCCTTAACGGGGGAATCCTTTAAGGGACGAAATTGAGTCCACTTCTGTTCACCATTATGGTCAATGAGCTAGTCAAAGATTGGGGCCCTAGAGCCAAATACGTGGACGACCTCACAGTGATGGAGGTTGTTCCTCGGAACTCGCCGTCAGTCATGGGCTA